CACAAACTGCCCATGGCCTACAGATACTATTAACTGAAAAACCTATTCTATATGCCACAAACTTAAAATGGCTTACAGATTCTATTGATTGAAAACACTATTCTATATGCCAAAAACTGCCCATGGCCTACAGATACTATTAACTGAAAACACTATTCTATATGCCACAAACTGCCCATGGCCTACAGATACTATTACCTGAAAGCACTATTCTATAGGTCACTTACTGCCCATGGCCTACAGATACTATTAACTGAAAAACCTATTCTATATGCCACAAACTTAAAATGGCTTACAGATTCTATTGATTGAAAACACTATTCTATATGCCAAAAACTGCCCATGGCCTACAGATACAATTAACTGTAAACACTATTCTATATGCCACAAACTGCCCATGGCCTACAGATACAATTAACTGTAAACACTATTCTATATGCCACAAACTGCCCATGGCCTACAGATACTGTTAACTGTAAACACTATTCTATATGCCACAAACTGCCCATGGCCTACAGATACAGTTAACTGTAAACACTATTCTATATGCCACAAACTGCCCATGGCCTACATATACTGTTAACTGTAAACACTATTCTATATGCCACAAACTGCCCATGGCCTACATATACTGTTAACTGTAAACACTATTCTATATGCCACAAACTGCCCATGGCCTACAGATACAATTAACTGTAAACACTATTCTATATGCCACAAACTGCCCATGGCCTACAGATACAATTAACTGTAAACACTATTCTATATGCCAAAAACTGCCCATGGCCTACAGATACAATTAACTGTAAACACTATTCTATATGCCACAAACTGCCCATGGCCTACATATACTGTTAACTGTAAACACTATTCTATATGCCACAAACTGCCCATGGCCTACAGATACAATTAACTGTAAACACTATTCTATATGCCACAAACTGCCCATGGCCTACAGATACAATTAACTGTAAACACTATTCTATATGCCAAAAACTGCCCATGGCCTACATATACTGTTAACTGTAAACACTATTCTATATGCCACAAACTGCCCATGGCCTTCATATACTGTTAACTGTAAACACTATTCTATATGCCACAAACTGCCCATGGCCTACAGATACTGTTAACTGTAAACACTATTCTATATGCCACAAACTGCCCATGGCCTACAGATACTGTTAACTGTAAACACTATTCTATATGCCACAAACTGCCCATGGCCTACAGATACAATTAACTGTAAACACTATTCTATATGCCACAAACTGCCCATGGCCTACAGATACAATTAACTGTAAACACTATTCTATATGCCAAAAACTGCCCATGGCCTACATATACTGTTAACTGTAAACACTATTCTATATGCCACAAACTGCCCATGGCCTACATATACTGTTAACTGTAAACACTATTCTATATGCCACAAACTGCCCATGGCCTACATATACTGTTAACTGTAAACACTATTCTATATGCCACAAACTGCCCATGGCCTACAGATACTGTTAACTGTAAACACTATTCTATATGCACTCAACAGCCCATGGCCTACAGATACTTTTAACTTAAAACACTATTATATATGCACTCAACTGTCCATGTCCTACAGATACTATTAACTGAAACTACCGTTCCCCATTCCCTCAAGGACCCATTTACTGTAATAGATAATCCATATGCTCCAAGATAATTTTAACTACAATACCATCTAAAAAATAAATTCCTTATCAACACAATACAAAACACTCATGGCAGATTCCTCAATACGCACTGTAACAATATAATCTACAAAATAAATACAATACTTTAACCTATAACTCTATATAAATATACAAATTAAAGACTAATATTTTTCCAAAATACCCCGCTTATACATGAGTTACATGTTTCTGTTTAATTACTCCGCACATCATAAGGAATGGTTAAGTTAAACATTCGATATAATGTCATTGTTCTTTGGCTATGGAGACATTAGCAAAAACAATTACATTTGATAAAATGCACAAATGATCAGTTAAGCGTCTCCATGAAGGGTTAAAATGGCAAATACCACAGCATAGAGGGTAAAAAGGCATTTCCGTGTGCCTATTCCCAGCCGGCGATATTCATTAAAACAGAAAAATACACTGGCTATCAACCAATCAAAATCCAGCATACTTATGTAAGGTGTAAATATCACTAAATGAATACGCGTTTCGTTAATATTCAAGAAATTTCTATCACAAATGCCACTTAATACTGTTCACTTAATTTATTATTCACAATGGCCATTAAGTAAATAATAAATGTTAATTAACCTACTACATTAAAGTACTTAAATTGAACTCAGTATCTTTGATGACAGTCTTATTTCTACATAATTATATTTGAATCAATACTTAGAATACACTATTCATTATGTAATATAAATTCAATAGAATAAAACACACCAGCGACGGAGATAATGGGAAAATTTATCTCCTCTATATAATTTAAAGTGTCATAATATACGTTTTTAATGTAAAATTATCCATTATGTTAAAAGGAATTCTTTTTACTTCCAGCTGATCATTATTCTTCCTTCTTTTTTGAAAAGGTAAATATTGATATTACTAATTAGTCTATTTAAAAATATTTTTTTCTTAATTAAAAATTCATATCTCTTCAATTTATCATAATGACATTTATTATAAGTGGACGAAGATACCATCATTAAATGCAACCACTGTTTTGGTTCGATTTCAGCTATTCAAATAATATAGCATTACAGTCAGCTATTAGCATGTAGCAAGTTTTAATGGATTTGATTAACAAAAGAAATGACACAACAGTTTAAACTACACGTCGGCTAAAAACAGATTTTAAATGAAAAATTATATCATTTTCCAAAATTTCCGTATAATCATCTTTCCTGGAAACTGCAAATTTCATTTATGAATTAGAATAAAATGATTTGAACTAGTACTTTCCCCAGTTTTATTTGTTTTTTCGTAAAAAAAGTATAGAAAAACAATAATGCGATGTTCAAAATATGTTCGTTTTACATTTTAAAGATCGTTGCTCCCTATTTTGCATAGAAGCATATCGAAAGATGATTGTTTTACTCCAGTAAACATTATAGATGAGCCCAGTACATTGTATCATTCATTTATTATTTAATTACTAAATATTTTGAAATAAGCTATGTTTTTGTATACAAATAATCCTGTAGAGAAAACTGTACCCTTTCAAGACTGTTAAATGTTGTATTGTTTTTTTCTGCATTGAAATTCTGTTCATTTATCCCCCGGTGTAAATAGTTTAGCTTGGGTGAGGTGCTATTTACATCCGGGTAATTAACGAATCAGATTGCACGATCCTTGCTTCATAAGAAATAATAGTGTAGAACGGCATGGTTTCATACTATCAGCGTTAAGCTTTCAGTAATTGCTTGTTTTCTTTTATTTTAATATGACATACAAGTCCCAGTCCTGACGTTGTCTTGACAGGTACCACTTGTTTCAAAATTCTGGATCAGCACCTGGATATTAATAATGAACTTGAAGAGGGCGTTTGACGCATGACGGTAAAGACCATTCCCGTTTCCTGAATATAAATAATTTCATGACCTCTACCTAAATGAGCTGTCAGCCTTCTTTTTATGTTATGGTTTGTAATTACATAGGTCGTCACTGACCATTTATCTGTTCATTTCTATATATCTTAAACCACCTCGGTGGTCTCGTGGAAGCGTGTTCGCCTTTAATACGGGAGGTCGTGGGTTCGAACCCCGGCCGGGTCCAACCAAAGACATTAAAAGTGGTATTTGCTGTTTCTCCGCTTAGCACGCGGCATTAAGGAGTAAGAGCTAAGACTGGTCGGCTCGGAGTCAGAATAATGTGTCCGGGTAAAGTGATGTGTCTTCCTGCGGACTGTTACCTTGTGAACTAGCACGTTAAAAATCCGGCTCAGCGTGTCGGTCTAGTACAAAGCAGGGTTAATATTCCTATTACATTAACATGTTGTCGTCCTGAATATGCATATTAAAATGCCACTGGACGTTAAGCATCAATCCATCCATCATCATTATATAAATAACACATAGCTGAGAGGGTGATAGAGCAGATTGTTACCTCGAGAAAACATTGTCAACTGAGGCGAAGCCAAGGTTGACAATGTCTTTTCGAGGGGTAACAATCTGCTCTATCACCCTCTCAGATATGTGTTATTTAATTTATTATACTGAATGTTCTGTTATTACTGTCGATTAAATTTCAAATTCAAAGTAATAAACTATGACGTCTTGTACATAACAACCATCCGTATTTAATAAAGCGCACACTTGATGAAGCGTCTCCGTGAAGGGTAATAGAGTATTTGCCATAGGATAGAGTCGTATTTAATAAAGCGCACACTTGATCAAGCGTCTCCGTGAAGGGTGATAGAGTATTTACCATAGAATAGAGTAAATTGTCTCCCTCGTATTAACCAATCAAAATCTGGCATTTTGACATGAAGTATAATAACATTTAAATATCTTACTTTAAATCGGACACCCGATTCCGACTCAATGTGAGGATGGTGTAACGCTTTTAAGCTGTAACACTTACTCTGTACTCTATAAGAAATGAAAATACTATTTTATTAGTTTTGAAATGTAAGATAAGTGTCAAGTTATTTTTGGTTAATTCAAGGAAAAGGCTTTTGTATCACATTTTAATAGACATCATGGATTCTAAGAACAGTTATTTTTTGTATCGAAAATTTAATTTGGATTTACGTGTCACAAACACTGCTCATACAAATCGTTTCAACAGCTTTTATTTTTGTTTTATTGTTTTCGAAGACGAATAATTTTATTGCTATTGCGTGAGGGATGATCCTAATTTTCGTCCAATAATCTTCCTATTCTTTTAATGATTCGCATTAAATCCAATTTCTGAAGTACATTAATACAAATATAAGTCACCTATATTTTTATGTTTTTTGTCATTTGCCTTGGGAACAGGATGTGTTTTTAATTGAAAGTTTATAAGATACAATAGATATAAATAAATCAATTCCATAAAAGTAAAAGGATTTTAATGTTGTAAAATTTCTCTTCAATTTACGAGCCAATGACAGTAAATTGCCACATATATAACTGATTTAACAAATAATTCTGATGATAGAATCAATAGAGTGATGGCAGCAATCTTGTCGTTAATGGAACACATTTAATGTATATAGAAATAATCAGAACATTGTCTGTCATCACAATGTGGAGATTATTTCGATCCTTAAGAGTGGCCATATGTCCCACATGTTAATATCCGTTCAAGGTTTGTCGTGGAAGAAGCCATTTCTGCTTAAGTATTAGCTATCAAACGGGTCATCAATAAAGCAGTGTTCAGTAAGTAGTCGCAATTGATTACTTTTTATTTTACTACAATTAAAGCAAACAGCTGCTGGAGAATTGTTCACCTATATGAAAAGGTAGGATCAATCAGTTATTGTTACTTATAATATTAATAATTGAAGCGTTAATTCTGAGTCAAATGACAAGGAATGCTTTATCTATGGGAATTCATTTATGTGTGGATTTGCTGAAGGTATGATAAATATTTCTAATATTTCTTTTAAATCCCTTGAGCAATTTTTGTATTTTTTTTTGGTAATTTGTTTTCTTAATTCAACCATAAGCAAAATATTATAAGGCATATTTTCATTTTATTAATATATATAATTTTTCAATTTGTTTGTCTCTTTTTTATTATTTTTTCTTTTTTTGCTCTGAGAAGAAATATTTGGAGTCGTTATTTCCTTGGATTTGACTGCATAATAGACACAAGGGATTGTTACGATTTCGTTTTTGATATTCATACATCAAAGGAAATTGAAGCCTGAATTGCAAACCATGTGAAACGTAGAGAACGGTGTCATCAATTCTTCATCTGTATGAGATTTCATTCATTTCGTCATTATACTTATCGATAGATTTTATCAATTCTTAGTTGATTTACTTCAACGAATGATCCACTTCTTCTTTGCTAGACTAAGGTTTCGCTCCGGCCTCCTCTGGTCGGATCGAAACCCTTGGCTAGAGAAGAAAGGTTCACTTAATCTTAGCTCTTTATTGAACGAAACTCAAATATGTCTATCCATCTTCTTATTGTTCTCTGGGACCTTTTGGAATCAAGGGTATCATGTCTAACGAGTGACAATGCCTCATTACGGCATACATAATTTCTATTTTGCAAATCACCGTAAAAGGAATCAAGCATGGGTACTCAAAGTATTTTCATGTTTTCTGAAACCGAAGAAATATGGACGTAATATTTTAGTTTTGAAAATAACTGTAGGACCCATTAATGCTTGCGAAACATTTCTCATAATTTGTATCAATAAAAAATCGGGTTTTACCATAAGCGTGATAAAAGCCACAATGCAAGGCCTTTTGCGTGAAACCGAGCACAGGTACCCAGATATTTTGAGCTAAGTTGGAAGTATCTTTTAGCATGCAAAAAATTTAATTTTCTAGAACCTCTTTCAATTATTTTTCCTTGACGTTAAATCGGAATGAAATTCCATATAATATTCATATATCTGACATAATTATAATCATTCATTTTTCAAGGAATTCCTCGGGTTTGCTGTCCTCGCTAACTAGTTCAAGCCATTGAATTACACTACCCCCCAGGGGAGGTCTGCAGTTAAGACATTATAAATTTCGTTAATTATTTCTTCCAATCTGAACTTTATATGCCTAATTATCTACATCAGTGGTCATCAGTGGTCATCGGTTCTGCATCTCATTGGAATTCTGTGATTATCGACAACATTATTTTGCTCTCTTATCAATTCACAGTTGTTTGCATTTGTAATTTTGACATTTTCCTATCAATCACCTGGTTATCACACCTTGATGAGTTCCTTTTTCGGGGTATACTATTTAAACTATATTTATTCTTTACAGTAATCGGGGTAAATGTTTAACATGGGTGGGATGACTGGCTATTTTAACGTCCGGCGAAAACTTATAAATACACATGTAGGACGGAAGTATGTTAACATGATATGGAGATGAATTCATCTCCGTACTATTTATTTATGGTGTAAAATGGTAGTATTGAAATTCATTTACAATTACATAAATAAATAATTATAATAATGGTTCTCAGCCGAGTAAAGTTACAGCACAGTGACACTAGAATGTTTCTGGTTTGTTCTGATGTCGTCTATTGATAGCTGTTTAACTGACACATACAACATGTATTTTCCATGTTTTATCTTATTTTCAGAAGTTCAAGTAATTTTTTACAATATGAATTTGTCAAAAGAGATTCCCTCAGGGAGCAGTCATTTTAATTCCGAGTTACGCAATTTTCATCGTTTATGGAATAATGACATTTTTTTTTGAGAGAACACTTAACATTTATCATTTTTGTAAATCAGTTATTTTTTATTGAATTTTAGAGATAAGGTAATACATTTGCGTCGAATTTTTTATTTTTTTTTTGCATCGGTCAAGTCAAATTGTTTCCTTATTAAAAATAAGACTGACCTCTTAAAAACGGAATAAGAAAAAAAATAGATCCCTTTTGTTTAGTGGAATTGATGCTCCCTTATCCTGTTATCAATATAACGCTATAAAAGGTTCATCTTACATGAGATATAAATAAGATTGATTGTTATGTGATTAACGTCCAGTGGCAAAAATTACATGAGTAGTAAGAACGAAAACAAGTTTACACGGAATCTACAGGAAGGACCTGCAAAATGGGTCAAAGGGGATAAAAAGAGGGAAATCAAGACTGCCTCGGAGAAAAAAGTAAGTTTCATAGTGCAGAAATATTGCTTTGCAACTATTCTTCAACGTGCAGAGAGCGTGTTACTATCCCTACAAAAGGTATCGGATTGAACATCCTCATTTCTAACCAAACGTGACTGTGTATTTTTACATCCAACACAAACTGTTATGCATTGTTTTTTCCAACCGGATTTCTAACAATAGTTTTAGTAAACATAATGGTAAATGCGTGATCAAACAAAGAGCTTTTTTTTATCTTTGGAATAATTAAAAATGATACAAACATGTTATTATTTTCAAAGGGATATTGAGCAATTTGTCCTACTTAAAAGTTTACAAGATCAAACAAAAATTGGAAACTTATTCCGCACTTAAAAAACTTTCTAATATTATTTGTTTTATCCATCTTAAGGTTGATTTCAGTCGGACCAGAAATTCAGCGCTTGTCACCGTGGGCATTAGGGATGGTTGATAGCGTTTGATTTTTTCAGTTTTTGTTGATTTCCCCTTTTTGAATTTGCCTTGGAGATAGGTACTTTTTTTTTATACTTTTTTAATTGTGATTAAAAAAAAGTTTTATGAACTTAATCATACATTTCTACTCTTTGGTCGTTTTTTTTTTTGTCTCTATGACGCATTCCCCGTTTCCATTTTCAATTTTATATATTTTGTAAATGGTTTGATTTTTTTTTTAGCTTGACGTTAAAAGATCGTAAAACACGAACATCCTGCGCATCATTTGAAAGTTCGTCATGAATTTAGAGATAATTCTAAGAACCTATATTCAATGTGAGCTAAAGTATAATATGGACTGAAAGTACATGCGACTTGCAAAAATAAGTTTCCCATCCTGAAAGACGACTAGATTTATCATATGGTATCATCATATATGGTGTTGGATTTTAGTAAAAATGTAGACTGTACAGCGAAATTCAGGCTATAATTAGCATTTTCCTCTAGTCCTTGTGAACTGAGAAAAGGTGCGGAACAGCTTGTCTTTCTTCTATCAAGTTCTTGAAGCTTAACACATGTCATAACTTATTTTCTATACAGGTTATCACGAAACTCCGTTGTGGCCATCATACTTAGTTCATTAGCATGTTGAAATTTAAAGGAAAGACGGGTGGCTTAATGCAAATGTCTCGAGCAGCTTCCTGATGCGTTGACATTATATTGGCATCATTAACATTTAATTGATAATTTCATCCAGGTTTTGAAAATATGTCGAATTTATAAATGATGACTACACTTGAAAAAGCAATCATTTCAACGAAGTCCTTACAAAGCCCTCTTGTCTCTGCTACATTTACACGCGACTTTTACTTTAATATCAACGAAATCAAATTCAACGGATATATGATAATGCCTTTTTTAAGCATAATAATGAAGCCAGCTCAGCTACTTCAACGTATAATAAGGGCAATAGAGACCACGAGAACCGTTTCCACATCACTGGTTAAAGGGTTGGGATCTATAATTAAAAAAAGAAAAAGGTTGTGTTTCCATTTAAATATAATTAGTTTATACTTCATTATTAAAGTACAATATCTCGGATACTTAGTACTCAAAAAGTCGAATGCACTTATATTTATTGTCTGGATGAAATAATTGCAGGCAAATTTTCACCATGATTCCATTAAACGCAGGATATGCTGTCTTTATTATACTTTGCCGTGAAATAAGGTCAACTAGCTGAAAGAGCACCTTCTTAGTTATATTGAAATCTATTATTTTGCATAAATCAGAATATCAGTGTATATTAGATACAACTTACACACCATCGGGTTTAAGCCCTCGGGTTGTATCCAGAGACCTTAAATATAGTTCTATATATCTGTTGTGTATCTAAATACAAATGTCAGAAATGAAATATTTAGAAAAATTTCATTTCAAGATTACTTTGTGTATTCGTTTTTATTATATTGCCTTTATCAGATATTATGTAATTAGTAATCAACAAGATCAACCAATACACAGTCGATAAACCTTCTGTATAGATTGAGTAATAGAAACACCATCGATAATCGACTGTGAACTCGTGTGCTCCGAAAGCGTATGCAGTTCCCGTTTCACTAAAGCATCCCCGTTAGCGAGGCTCATGGCAGGTAAAAATCCAAGGTGATAAAACGAATTCGGTAATAAGTCTTTAACGAAGTAAGGAGAACAGGATTAGCACTGCGATTGATCATATCCGTGCACGTGGTCATTGTGACGCCAATGTCGTAATGTGCAGCCAAGTTAATTATAAACCTTTTGAAAAGATTACTTTTGTTTTACTTTAAGAACACTTGATACAGTAACTTCTTTGAAGCATCCTTTTTTGTTGTTGTTTCGGCATGCAGAATTTAAATCTTTTATACCTGTAAATTATATGGAGTTTTATTCAAATTAAGTTAAGAGGGGGCTGATTATCAGTGATATAACTATGTCAAGTAATTTTTAATAACACATTTCAATTACAACTTGATGTAGCTCTTAACTGGGATACAATTTAAAGTAGTTAAGTTGTAAAATTAGCTAAAAAGTCTTAAACAAAATAAAACTCATGATCAAGTTGAAAACAAAATTACTAAATCACAAAAGGAATGCAACACTAAGAGAAT